CAGATGAACAGTTACAACTGTTACAACACTGCAGTAAGCTCCAGCACCAACGCTAGTGTTCTACCTATGAATGTAAAATCGCACCTTTAGAAGATAATTGAGGCTTGTTCATATTACTTGCACGATTTCTAAATTGATATGAGGAAAAAATTCAAGTTAACAGCACCGCGAAATGGTACTGTAATGTGATGGGGATCTGTATGAGCCAGGTAAAATCCCTATTGAAACTGGATGAGTAAGGTAGAATCCCTATTTTCCATGCTGTAACTGTGTGACAACACTAACTGCAGCTCCAGGAAAGTTTGACAACACTTTCTGCAGCTACAGCATGGAAAATAGGGATTCTACCTTACTCATACAACTACCCCACCAGATTACAGCCCCAGTTCGCGGTGCTGTTAGCATGAAGTTTTTCCTTATATCAATTTAGAAATCGTGCAAGTGGTGTAGATAAGCCTGGATTATCTTCTTAAAGTACGGCTATATATCCTAAAGCGTTCAAAGGCACTTGTTTCCAATGCGGCGCCACTTTCGTCTGCCCGTAATCAGCCTCCTAGTGTTGGCCGGAAGTACGACCCCGCGCCGCCTATGGAGACTGCGCTGTTTGGCGTCAGGGTTTTCTGTGTCTTAAAGCTTTGCGAACATGTATCTTCCGAGCTGTGTTAATTTTTTTCCTCGCTAATCTTTTATGAAGAAATGGTTGAATGTTCCAAGATTAGCATAGATTGGGAATATGGATAGGAATTTGCATCCATATTTCAGTCTGTAATCTTTGTTCAAGGGGTTCTCAATATCTCTGTAGAACCCAGGAAACGTTGTGGCAAAGCCTCTGAATTCCATCGATTAGAACGAACCAGCCGAACAGATGTAAAATTAATAGTGCCGAAAATTGATAATATGCAGCCGTTTAACATCCGTTTCCTTTAATTATTGACTTAAAAATACGAGCAGAATTGTATCCTCCGGTATCTTTTGACTTCTGTTTCAGCTAAAGAATATGTAAATTGAACTGAAGCGAGTAACCTTCGTGCCCGTAGATATCAAGTGGGTCATATTTCGCGATTTTGTTTGGGTGGGGGAAGGTTTGAGGGGGTGGGCCTTTCACCTTCAGTGAGCCTTTTATGAACCCCGCGCCCCGTTCTAAGCAAAGCTCTAACTGCTCCCCTGTGCACCTACGTCTCATTGGAGAACGCGTGGTATGGCCAGCGTCACGTTCATGGCACTTGCTGCGGGCACTGCTCTGCACGAATCGCCCAGGGACTGACTGCAAGAAGTGACGGCTCTCTCCGATCACCCTGCTCCGGCCTTAACCTGGGATCCGAGCAACTGCGTTGTTTGGACGGCTGTAGGTACCGGGAATCACTCGCGTATGGCAGAACCCCTCCCCCTCCCCTCCCCGCTGGGTACATTTTGCGGCCGCTTAATCCCTGAAGGGAAAGCTGCCGGCTGGTTTCCAAACAAGGAGCTTATCCCCGCCAGCGGGCGGCCACTCCCAGGGCAGGCGAATGCGGGCACAATAGCAGGATGCCGTGTAACAAAGCCAGGTGAGAGGGGAGAGAGGAGAGAGGAGACAGAAGAGGGGAGAGAGAAGAAAGGAGGAGAGAGTGGGAGGGAGGAAGAAAGAGAGAGAGAGAGAGAGAGAGAGAGAGAGAGAGAGAGAGAGAGAGAGGAGAGAGAGAGAGAGAGAGAGAGAGAGAGAGAGAGAGAGAGAGAGAGAGAGAGAGAGAGAGAGAGAGAGAGAGAGAGAGAGAGAGAGAGAGAGAGAGAGAGAGAGAGAGAGAGAGAGAGAGAGAGAGAGAGAGAGAGAGAGAGAGAGAGAGAGAGAGAGAGAGAGAGAGAGAGAGAGAGAGAGAGAGAGAGAGAGAGAGAGAGAGAGAGAGAGAGAGAGAGAGAGAGAGAGAGAGAGAGAGAGAGAGAGAGAGAGAGAGAGGAGAGAGAGAGAGAGAGAGAGAGAGAGAGAGAGAGAGAGAGAGAGAGAGAGAGAGAGAGAGAGAGAGAGAGAGAGAGAGAGAGAGAGAGAGAGAGAGAGAGAGAGCGTTTCTTTGTTGGCGGCACGATTGGCAAAACCTGCACGCTGTAGTAAGAAGAGACGCTGAACATCACCTCAAGTGCTAATCAAAATTTGCGCGCGACACCGACCTTGACATCTGGAACATTTAAGTGACGAAGCAAGAAAGCTGTGCGGTATCTCGACTTTGGTGATTTGCGATCACCGGTGTAGCAGCGATACTCTTCACCTTTATTTGGCGAGTAGAGTTTGGTTCCGGACCAGCCGGCATTACTCCCATTCACTCTTTAAACGCCCGTTCCCACTCCAAACCTGTATTTACAAGGGTTCAGTGTAGATAAGTCAAACAGATGACACAAACACCGAGATCATACGAGGCCGGACACTGTGTCGGCTCGCGGGTCAGGGGGTCACCGTGACCGAGACGGGGACAGCGAGCGGCGCCGGTCTGGGCAGCCGCCGCCGGCGACAGCACCACTTCAACATGGACGGACGAGCGTAGCCTGCACCGTTGGTCACTGCATGAGCAGATGCCGCCAGCCTGCGGAGACAACTGCAGGCTGGATCGGTGCATTGCTGCACGCCTGTGGCTGATGCACATTCCTGCACATTCCTGCATGGACATACACTTCAGGACGGATACGTTTCAGCATGGACGGATGCCTTCGGCCTGGACGGATGCGTCGCAGCATGGAAAAATACAGTTCAGTATGGACAGATGCCGCAATCAAGAGCACATCTATTTCTGTCTGCACTGATAGATTTCTGTGAGGACTGACATATTTCAGTCTGGACGGACTCGACGGACGGTTGCGTCTTAATGTGACGAATGCGCTCGGCTTCTACTGAATTCATAGGCATTTTATCGAAGCAAACGCATCACCCGCATACAACTTTCCAGTAAATCCCCAACTGCAGGGATGAGTCCGTTATGATTGGTGCGTCGTTCAATTGTTGTGCGATCATGGCGGCTCATATGCTTATTCATGTTAAGAGAGCCGTCAACATACTCTCAAAGAGACTTGCGCATATCTTCCTATCGGGCTCGCCCAACAAGCTTACAGGGAAATGGAGGCATTGGGCTCGGTAACTGAATGGATGTTGGGTTACTTGATCTGACGTTTTAGTTTTATGAAAAGGTGCTCCAGCAATGCGCGAGAGTTTTCTGATGCCCTGGTAAGAATGCAACTTTTTCAGTCACGTTAAGTAGCTGGCTGAGTAAAAAATCTGTCCTGTCTTTCAGAGTCAGGACTCCGCTACTCCGCGAAAATATGAGTGTTACAAAATCAACACTTTGTGCACTTGAGATCACATCATTCACATTTAAACGAAAAACACCGACGCACGTCTAGCCATGACACCAAACTACTACGAATCAATGAGTATTCGTTATTAAAGCACTCGGCAAACCAAAGACGGGCGCCGGGCAGCGCGGTGCCCCCGGCCCAACACAATCGATGTGGCGCATGTGCGACGTTCGGTGGGGCTTTAACCAGTGACGTGTGAAGAACGTCCGATTGAACGGCTCATGCTTACCGGGCAGGAAGACTGGCCTTCAACACTGTACAACGCGGCGCGGGACAGGAGATTGGCGACGAGCGCCGACGCAGGCACGTGTTCTGGCGCGCGGAGACACGAGGCCAGCCGTAGCTGTCCGCAGCGGCAGCTGCAGCTGTCCGCAGCGGCAGCTGACGGCTGCCCGCGGCAGCAGCTGACGCCGGGAGCATCGCAGGGTTGTTGAGGACTCCGCGGGGTTAATGGGCAAGTGCGCAGCTGATCGTGGCTTTGAGAACTGAGAGGACTGTCCGAGATCGGCCGGCGTTCTCGGCGCTGGGCGGAGTCGTGAGTGAGGGTCACGGAGGAGGGTCACGGCGGAGGGTCACGTGACCACGGACGCCTGTCAGCGTGGTGAATGGCGGCACAGAGTGGCCTTTCACGTGACAGCGGGACACAGCCTCCACGCAAGGTGACCGGAAAACCGCAGGGTGGACGCGTGGCTTCTGGGATGGATACGACGCCCGCATGAACTGCGCAGCACTGACGTAAATTTCGTTGAGACCTGGTAGCAGCAGAACCATTGCAGGGCTATCTGCTGTACCACGAGCTGGTAAGTAGTCGACAAAGGTCACAGAATGACAGAGGCATGGCAAGCACAAAGCCTCAACAGCCAGGGAACAATCGTGATCCTCCATGATGCCCTCGCCATCAATTTGCAATCTTGCTCCGCGGAACCGACCGGCCCACCGAATGCCGACGTCCGAACAGCGTAGACAAATATTCAAAATTCCCTGGACGCTAGAATATGAGCAGGACGTTTCGCCGAGAAGAAACCTGACCAATCGACGTGCCGCGCCGACTACGGCGGCCGGCGGACGGACCAATCATCAGCCAGCAGCGGCCGCCGCGCGGGTGCGCCACTGTCGATCTCGCCGCACGAGCCCAACACGCTGCTTTACGGCCGAGCTTTGTACACATACTGGACGGCTGGTGACTTGCGCCAGGCCGACCTGGCGCGCTTCGGTCGCGCTCAGGCCGGCCGACGGCGCGGACGGAGCGACGGTGCGCACGCTCACACGCACAACGTGGCGCACGCTCTGGCGCTCGCGCACACACACAGACCGAGGCGCGGACCGACGGCGGTGCGCGCTGGCGCCGCCGCCGGCTGCCGCGCCTCGCTTCGTTGGACACTGCACAGTGGGCTGTCGCAGGCCGCTGCGCCGGCCGAGCGTGGCCGGGCTGGCGCTGTGCGGGGCCGACCCGGGCCAAGAGCGGTGCTGGATTGTCCTGTGCAGTCGGACAGCGGAGCCGGTCCGCGGACGGCGCCGACCGACCGCCGGGCGCCGCTCTGGCGGCCCAGCGACGGCGCGCCGGCGCCGCTGATGACTAGATCAGGGAGACCATTCGGGGAGCGTGACTAGACGCCGACCACCTGGCGGCGTGGGCCTGCCGAGCTGGCCGGAGACCGGCGGGCGGCTGGGAGCGCAGCCCCCGGTCCGGGCTGGTGCGGCGCAGCCCTCCGCCGGCCGCAGCGCCGCTCTATATGCCGCTAACCATTCCCTCCATGTCGATCAGACCCTCCAGGTCGAGGCTGGAGTCGAGCATGGAGAGGGCGCGGCTGATCTCCCAGTGGGGCTGCGCGTAGCTCACGGCGATGGCCGCCTGGCCGGTGGCCGCCGGCTCGAGGCCGGCAAGGTCGACGGCGTGCAGGGGCGCCGGCGGCAGCGCGCCGCCCGCGCCGGCGTACAGCGACAGGTCCAGCGAGCTGGTCAGAGAGTCGGGGCTCTCGCTGGAGGCGTCGCTCAGCTCCGAGTGGCTGAAGATCTCCTCCTCGGCGCCCACCAGACTCTCGGGACTGAGCCCCGTCATGTACAGCTGCGTCGGCGCCAGCAGCTCGGTCGGCTGCGAGTCGGCGCTGAAGCGCAGAGCCTCCAGCTCGACCTCGCGGCCGGCGGCCGGGTCCCAGACGGCGGTGCGCGCCGGCTCCAGCCGACCCACGCACATGCCGGCCGGCGTCGCCGACGCCAGCGGCGGCGGCGGCCGCTGCGACGGACGCATCTTCTTGGTGTAGCCCGGGCGCAGGAACGGTGGCCGCCGCTTCTTGAACACGCCGTTGACGATGTTGCTTGAGTACTCCGGGTCCAGCCGCCAGAAGCCGCCCTTGCCGGGCTCACTCTTGGAGCGGGCCACCTTCATGAAGCACTTGTTGAGCGACAGATTGTGACGGATTGAGTTCTGCGGAAGAGAGCCGGAGCAGATCAGTCAGTGGTGAGCCCGCAAAACGTTCTACGGCACAAAACAGGGCAGACGGTCATCAATGGATCTGTGAGATGCTCTAGGGCGCAGCGACGGGGAAAGTCAGTCATTGAGGGCACCCCCTTGTCCTGTTCAAAAGCAACGCACGGCATGGACTGCGAATGGGCGACATCTGTCAGCTCTGTGTTTGAGGAATGCTACAAGCGTCAGTTTAATGCATAAGAACGAACGCTTCTTCACTATTGAATGGATGTATATGGCATAAATGTATCTATCTAGAGATCTATGGCATAAACGCATCAATCGGCCGATGCCCCTCGCCGACAGTCCGTGGTTCCTCGCCGACGGCAGCTCGATCAACTGCGCCGGACTCGGCGCGGGGACGGGGGCGCGCAATAGAGCCCTCGTACTTCGGAGCGGGAAATGGGGACCGCGCGCAAGCGCAAAGGCATGGCATCCCTCGACTGGCTGGTGGTAATGACGCTGCGAGAAAGTGGAGCATGAAAACCGACCTGAAAAGGAATGGCGCTGGAGGTATGAATTATTCCGTGAGCGGTGGTGATTCACAACGCGAAGAGGAAGCATCACCACCCTCCTGCACGTGACGTTGGAGGGGTGACCACTATTATAAACGCTCCCCACTGTGCCTCCCCCCCCCCCCCACCGACACACACGCCCACCACCGCCGGATGCCATCCGGGTGACGACAGGGGTGAGTGGACAGGGGGGAGGGAGTTGTACAAAACGAATGGTTTGAAGCGCTAAGACCTCTACTGTATTCAGCCCATAAAATGCGTAAGCTCGCTCGCCTCGTCTACGGGCCTGCTTCCGCCACCGGCCAGCGGCGTCGCCGGTCGCCGCCCGGCGGGCGTCGAGCCGGTCTGCGGGAGGGGAGGGGAGGGGATGGGAGGGGGTCGGCGGCGTGGCTCGGACCGGCTCTCCGTCCAGCCCGGTCGATAGCAGGCCGACTGGGCATGCCAAGGTTGGCAGGGGCGGCTCCAGCGCGACACACCTGGCCGGACTGTGACGGCACACCTGGCCGGGCTGCGGCGGCGCACCTGGCGCACGCGAGCCGCCACTACCGACCGGCCGGGCGGCGCCGGCCGCACCGCCCCGGACCTCGGACCCGACCCGTGCCTCTCCCCCCAGAGCACGAGCCCTCGACTCGCCCCTGACGATCGCGTGCCGCCGCCATTTCTCCACGAGCCCATTTGGAGAGAAGAACGTCGACACCGTCGTTGATTTATTGAAAGCCACTTTGCCACCGAATCGGCTGAATTCTCGCCGGCCGTGCCAGGCTGGCTGACCGTTGTCGTCTGCAGCCGGCAGCGCCCCAGCTCCGGCGCTGGGGAGTCAGCTTCGGCGCTGGGAGCGGGAGCCAGCTCCATTCCTGGGACCGGGAGTCAGGTCCGGCGCCGGAGGTAGGAGTCAGCTTTGGTGCTGGGACAAGTCAGCCCCAGCGCTGGGGAGTCAGCTCCAACGCTGGGGGGTCAGCTCTGGTGCTGGGGCTGGGCGTCAGCTCCAGCTCCGCTTAGGGACTGACGCCCTAAGCTCCGCTAAGGCAGTCAGCCCCAGCGCTGGGGGAGTCAGCTCCAGCGCCGAGGGAGTCAGCTCTGGTGCTGGGGGAGTCAGCTCCGGTGCTAGGGTTGGGAGCCAGCTCCGGTGCTAGGGTTGGGAGTCAGCTCCGGTGCTGGGATTGGGAGCTAGCTCCGGTGCTAAGACTGGAAGCCAGCTCCGGCACTAAGGCTGGGAGCCAGCTCCGGTGCTAGGGTTGGGAGCCAGCTCCGGTGCTAGGGTTGAGAGCCAGCTCCGGTACTGGGCGTCATCGCCGCAGGCGTCACAACAGCCTGGCGAGCTCCTTGTGCCGCCGTGTAATCATACATCCGTGAGGCGAGATTACAGCAGCGACCTGGACTCCCTTGAAGACCGCTCAGCAAATACGGAGTTCGCCTTCCGACCCAGTCGTGTGCGACGTCACAAAAATGCTCATCCTAATAAGGTGATTTGGGCGGCGCACTCAGACAGCAGTTTTTGCTCCTCACAAAGTCATCTAGCTGTTATTTTTGTCCTTAGTAGAGGTGTTAGTGGCTAGGTGTTACGCGATACGGGATTTGGCGCTATTGTGGTCTTTTGTGTTCTTATTGCGGTCTTTTGGTTAGCTGCTGGCATGTTTTTTTGCGTTCTTGAAGCGTTTTTCTTTTTTGTTGCCACGCGGTCTGCAGGTGGATAGTCTGCAACATCATTGGAGCCTTGGTTGTTTCCGGCTATTGCTCTTGATGTTTTGCGCCCTTTTCATTGCCGGTTAAAAGCACCAAGGCAGTGGATGCAGAGGTATCATCTTTTTCGAAAATACTCGGTGGCCTGGCCTGTAGCATCTGACGTATCTCATGCCCCAAAACTTGTTCCTCGTCGAATTTCGTGCAATTTGCTAAGCACCATTAACAAGGTTTTTTATTACAAAAATGATCGTAAGATGTTTTGTGTTATGTGCTGTGTGATGTTCTGTATCACCACTACTGTGATATAAAGTGGTCATAACATGACATAACATAACATGACATAACATAACATGACATAGCATAACAAGTGGTCATACCTTTTGGAACTCTAGCACAATGTCTGAATGTCAAATGCACACAAACAATGTCTGAGCAATGTCGTACCTGTCGCCCCTTACGAGCCGCGCAGACCGCAACGTCGTGCACTCTGAATCATCACAGCACACCGATTACCGCTATATAAAGAAGGGATGAGTCAATGTAGCAACAACTAATAGCTAGTCTGAATTGATTGCTATTTCATTTTATAATCATGCACATAATATTATACATATGTATCTATATATATATATACTATATATATATTCTATATCTATTATATATCCTCTCTCTCATCTCTCTCTTCTCCTCTCTCTCTCTCTCTCTCCTCTCTCTCTCTCTCTCTCCTCTTATTAGTTATATCTATCGGTTATATATATAATACTATATATATATAACTATATATATATATATATATATATATATATATAATATTATATATATATAACAATATGATATAATAATAAAATACATATAATGATATAATGCATATCATAATATAATATAATAATATAATATGATAATATGGCCTGGAGCCGGAATAAAGCCGCCTCGTGTGCTGGCCCGCGCGTCTGGAGCCGCACACATGTTATTGGATACAGCATTTAATTCGGCGCCGGCTTCGAGTAAACCAGGCCGGGCCCAAGAGGTCAGTAATAGTAGATCCTCATTGCCGGGAGGTTGGAGAGATGAATATCTGCAATTATGATGCTTTCAGGAAATACCTCCAGGGAATGCTCAGCGAGAAATCGGTTAAAATCAGTCAAGGAAGTACATACAACATTGTTTGCATGTTGTAGTGGTATTATGGTGAGTCAGAACCAAACCATTTGCCATCGTCCCGAACAAGAGTTGTTAGCTTGACAAGCTGTTTCAAATAGGCAAGATTTCCTTGCCAAACTCGAGACATCCGTGAAGTCACTTGGCCTGAAGCACCAAGAAACAAGCGGGCGTTTGTGCAAAATCACCGACAATTTCCAGAGACGACTCCTCTCTAAAGTATGGCCGAAATTGGAGTAAATTTTATACGGCTTGCGAAAAAGCATAATCATCCGCGGTTTCAAATGTTGGTGCAGTCTCCTTCGAGAAGATGTGACGGAGTCACAGTATCTATGGACACAGGTTTCGGGTCAACGCGGCAAATTACCGGGTTCAACGACGGAAAGGCGAGCCCGGAGCGCGAGATAATAATCTCGCGATCGAGATCGAGATCACGATCTCGCAATTGAAGATCGATTCATGATTCATGATTGTCACGATCATGATTCAAAGATGCTCCTTGGATCAGTTACGCACAATGATCTCCATGGCAGGAGAAATTTCTGTGTGTTCATGCGAGATTTGTTTGGTTTTTATTTGCCCATGCAAATGCCTCACAGACGGGCTGAGCATGAAGCGACCTTACAATATGTATGTATTCGTGGCATGATTCATAACGACTAATGGCCTTGTCGGCAAAATCATCGGTATCATCAACGATAGCTAAACCCATTCAATAGTTGCAGCACACACTCCCCTGGAAAAGTCGCTATCCATGCCGAGAGGTTACCCAAACTACAAAACAATTTCATTGTTTTACCTTCTGTTGTCTGACCTGGTATAAAACAGGTGTTACTTCCTAAACATGTGTCACCATGCTGAGGATTTTGGCCCTATCATATTATTGCAATTCCTTGCGACCTTCCAGGGGAAAGGTCCATGCATCGAAGTGGGCGGAGGGGCAATGCTAAACGCCTGGTCGGATATGGAAATCTGCAATGCCCAGAGCAGGATCAAGTCCTGGCATCGCGTGATATGCTTCGTAGCTGCACCACCGACCACATTGCTGGGTAGTGAACAAATAAATCATGGACGCAGTTTGGGCGTTGTACGGGGCACAGCACGGATAGACTGAACTTGTGCCTTTTCATCATGGCTTAGCTGTAATGCATACGAGCTCACACTGTCTTTCTACAAATAATCCTGTTCTTTGCTGTATCATCTACGTAGTTTAACATAACCGCGCCATTTTCATTCGTAGGCGCACATCTAATCTATGTGATATCTGATGAAATCCGCACAACGGAGCAGTGTTTAAACGCGGTGTTTTTGTCATATTTGAGGGGGTGCCTTGTTACCCTTCAGTGGCTTTGTCGTGGAGCAACCCAGTTCTGTTGGCCTTGAGAAAAGAATTATGGTGGACAGTTGCATCAATTTGACGTGGAAGGATTCCCTGGAATGAATTCTCAAAAAGCAAAAAAATGTGGACACGCGCAGAAAGCGATAAAGGATGAATTTTATTCCGCGGCCAGATTATTTAACCATCCAGTTCCAGCTCTGCATACGTTCCAGCTCTGCAAGTGCATACGTTCGTAATACATTCCAGGCTTCAGGACGGTGTCG